TATTATATATATATATATACATATATATATATATATATGTGCGTGTGTGTGTGTGTGTATGTATTTATGTATGTAAGTATGCATATAATTAGTTATGTATATGTATAGCGATACGTAAATGTATGCATGTTGGCTGTAGCGATCATTCACAAATCTAATCTACAGGAGGGCGTGCGGGCTCTTTGTTCCCATCGCACGCGCATAGTTTGAGCTCCGCTTGATGTGTGTTGTGTCTCGTATCTTATATCTTTTTGTATTACCTGTGCACTTGTTCTACTTTGCGGGTATGTCAAGGGTTTGGGGTTTACCCTAAACCCTAAAAACCTGTTGTCCTGCGACCAGGACTGTGTATTGGCGTGGACATACCATATGGATACGTTGGCTAAAAAGTGTAAACAAATAAAGATACCTAAACCCTAATCCCGAATCCCTACCCTCAATCAGTGTACCGTATCGTCCGCACTTTATACCCTAAAACCATACAACCATATACCCTAAAACCACAGGACTGGGCGTGGTAAACCTGACGCACGCAGACCTCAAGAAACAAATGAAGTCGTGGCATCTGCTGAGCACGAAGACGCACTGTGATTCGCCGCCATTGCTGTCTATCGCTTCTATGTCACTCTTCCACAGGTACGAGCCTTGTCAAACCTCGAAAACCCTAAAACCCTACAAGCACTATTGTATCTGTGGTGAGTGTTATTTTGTCACTGTTGCTGTTATTCACAGGTAGGTGCCTTGTGGACTATTTCGTGCGTCGCTAGCGTGAGTGTACCGATGCACATACTACTTAAAGGGCTTAAAGGTTGTAGCACATGCTACCTAAAACTCTAAATTCCCTTCAACTCTCTAAAACCCTTACACATACCACTTTAATCGAGGTATTCTACTAAGCCCTATCTCCACAAACCCTCCACCTGAGCTCTTCTATTTCCCATCCTCCAATACACCTGCACTCATTCTGTGTTTACGTGTCCACAACCTCTCCATCCAAGCTCATCTATATTACACCTGCACTCATTCTGTGTTTATATGTCCACAACCTCTCCATCTAAGCTCATCTATAATACACCTGCACTCATTCTGTGTTTACATGTCCACAACCTCTCCATCTAAGCTCATCTATATTACACCTGCACTCATTCTGTGTTTATTCTCCGCTGTTCTTACCCCCAGAGATGCACGGAGGGTGTCTCATATGGACGGCGACTCATCGCAGCAGGAGGCCTTGTCCAACCCCTGACAATAGCAACACGTATTGCAAAAATATACGTTTACAATATGCATATAATATATGCGTGTTGCTTTATGTATTATATATACTTATATGATGCATGTGCACTATATATAGTGTTTAGCATATACGTATCAGTATGTAATATATATATATATATATGATGCATATACTGTACATAGTGTATAATATATAGGTTTGCCCCATCGGCCGCTAGCAATTCTGAGTCAGTCTCTCTCGCCAAACAACCACACAGTGCAGTGGACTCTATCTCAGATTGCAAGTACACTCACTCGAACCAAATAACAACAACACAGTATGGTAAACGACATCTGGTTATGCGCGAATTGGTAGATGTATGTGTGGCGTATCTCTGGTGCACAAAACAAAACTTTAAAACCCTAAAACTCATATGGTCTGCGTACTAGCTGCCGCTTAGACCCATGCGACAACGCGCACGTGCATAGAGTAAGAGGGAGCACCGATGTCTGTGTAAACAGTTACAAACCCTAGGCACCGTAAGAACCATACAAACCCTAAGCACCGTAAGAACCCTGCCTGTGTGTGGGGTGGTATGCAAGTGTTGACTTGTATGTCTCGCGGGGGCACTCAGGGCTGAGCGGCTGCGCAAAGCAGGTATGAGCATATATCCCTGTGATTATGGTCTTAGGGTTTTAGGGTTTAAAAGCTTTTGATGTATGGGATATCGTCCGCAAATGTCACTCGGGTGCTGTTGGGCATACGGTTAGACATTGCTGTCCTGGGCATCGATCCCTGTGCACGTACCATGGGACAAACCCTAACCCCCAGAATCCTAGACGTTTTGGGCTTTAGTCAGATATATCTCGCCCAGATACTTTTGGCAAAGTCGGTATTTGAGCTTTCAACTGTAGGTGCCGCTCAGAGGGTCAAGCTGCGTGGTAGGACATTGCACTTGCAAGCGCTCACTCATGTGGTCCGTAGTGCCTGGAAAGTATGCCCTGGATACTTTTTGGGGCTCTCCCCAGGTGTCCAATCAAGCCAAGTGGTAGAGCATGGTAGTAGTCCCGAGAAGATATATATATATATATATATATACATATCCCCAAAGTCTCACCCAACGAGATAGTGAGGAGAAGGTTGTAGAAGTATAGGTCATTCATCCACTCCTGTGGTCCATAATGTCTGGAATTTATGACTTAGATCTTTTGTTCTGGACTTTTCTGAGACACTCGGGGGCGGGTACGTTGTCGCAGATTCAGATGACACCACCACCACCACCCTCTAAGGTGTGAGACTGTCCGAAACAGTTACTACTGGGCCATGGGTGTCCATATTGCAGTCATGTACGACAACCCCGGGATACAAAGTGTACATTTTTAAGGTGCGGGACAGGCCAAGGTGCTACGTGCACTTAGAATTTAGGCTGGTTACATAACAACATATCTATAGGCGTTATATATGTCATCGAATACGGTGAAGTACAGAGCAGCATCGAAAATGGTATGGTTTTCGGTTGACAGGCGACACATTGAGTTCTAGGGTTTGGGGTTTAAATTTTAAACCCTTAACCCTTAATCCCGGAGTCTCACCCCCCAAAAGTCAGGACTTTCCCAAACACCACACATTAAGTAATTCAGCACCCAGTGAAGTGGGAATGCCATGAGTCATCGAATACAACACACAGTCGAGAGATGAGGGTGTGAGTGTGGGGTTGATATACTAATCAGGCCATGAGTCATCGAAGACAAGGCACAGCCGTGAGATGAGGTGTGAGTGTGAGGTTGATATACTTAATACTGACATAAATTAGAGCCCGATACACGCGTATTAACACAGAGAAGAACAGTAGTAGTGCTGGTCATTGTAACTTGCAGGTACATTCAACCACCGAATGGATAATAAACCCTTGTAATGAAACCTTCATGTTTAACTGAATGGGTAATAAACCCAGTCAATGAAACCTTCATGTATAAACTGAATGGATAATAAACCCCAGTTTAATACTGAAGCCTTCATGTATAACTGAATGGATAATAAACCCATTTAATGAAATCTTCCTGAATAACTGAATGGATATTAAACCCATTTCATGACACCTTCATGTATAACTGAGAGGATAATAAACT